AGAGGCATCAAAATCAGTGGTTTTTACAGCTGCAGACGGGTGGACGCCCGGGGTGTGTTGGTAGCCATGAGTTCGGCTACGCTGGGCCAACACGAGTGCCGGGGAGGCAGGGCGAACGCTGGCTCGTTCAGCGGAGCTGAGCGCGGCCCTGCTCCGCCGGCAGCGAGAGTGGAGCCAAGCGTCACCGCCGGCGCGAGCAGCCGCCCCCGCGCAGGCTCTTCGCAGTTAGCTGGTGACTTTCTGCATTGCAGGTCTGCAGTCTTGCGGCTTCGTTGCTTGGATCGTTAAGTGCCACAGGGGGGAAAAAAAAAGTCAGAAGGCACTGAGCTATTGCAATTAAAGCTTGCAGTCCTGTGCAGGGTAAGCAAAGTAGGTGATGTGCTCTTTGTACTGTCTGCAAAACACCACCAAGGTTAGGAAGTTAAAGGCTTTTGTATCTTCTTCTTCAGAAGTGAAAGTTTCCAAACTTAGATTATTTCCCATGAGACACCCAATTCTAGAAAACAGCCGTCTTCTGAACTGGGGAAGCAGAAGGCAACAGGCTACCGAGACAGGCAGTGAAGCCAGGAGGCTGCAAGGTGCTCGTCAGAGCTCAGCCGGAGCGCCGGACCCGCCTGCTTCTGCGGCAGGATGACTTATATCGTGTATGAAATGACTGTGGTGCAGAGTGCACAACTTTTGGCCTGTGAAATTGTGATAAGGAGAGGGGAAACATGAGATTGTTGTTTGAAATGTGCAGGGTGAACCAGTGTGTCCACCTGGATTTCCAACTGATGCCACAGAACAGTGAAACGGGCCCAGGTTCATTTGCTGCTGTCTTGGCTTAGCAGTTAGCCCAGGGGAATTTGAGAGTGCTGTTTACTTCTGAATATCCAGCTACTGCTTAGGTACTTACTGTGGATTTAAAGGTCTAATATTGTATATATGAAGGTATTAAGCAATGGATATTTATTTTTACGCAGGAAGGAGAAAGTGACTGTGGTTATTTAGTCTTACTGTGTAGCCTTGCAGAGAAATTGTGGCATCTTCAGCCCGTAGCTGAACATTTAAATGACTGCATAAGTGAATACTGCAGCTTCTAGTACTTATCCTGCCTCCTCTTGTGGTAGTTGTGCTTCAGTCCTCCTAACATAGAATAATCTTCTAAGCAAATACTAGAATTTAGCAGTGAAGAGGACGAAATGCTGAATTGGTGCTCATCACTTCATCATATTTGTATAGGTTTCCTGCCTGGATAAAAAATAGCAATTTTGTGAGCATGGTTTTTTAGCTTTTGCACGCCAGTGAGTTCTGCGGTGAGTGTGGTCAGTGCCCACGGGTGCTCTGCTTGTCGTTGGGAGGGTTAGGTGGGAGAGACCGTGCCAGATACCTAGGCACCATGTACCAAGTAATTAAAAGTATAATGCTGCTAACTTCCGTTTGCCCTATCTGAATGCCTTAGAACTAGCACCAAAAAAAGTGATGTACGCTTTGAGCATCTCAGCATATTCCTTAGATTAGCTGAATATTATTTTTCTAAAATCTGTTGCTATATATTTACTGATTAATTGATGTGCAGTAGCATGATGAGTTGTTGCACCTGATCTGTTTGCGGACATAAACAAGGTGCATCTGACAAAGATCTGTGCTTGATGCTTTCATATTAACACTTACTGATTTCCTAGCAATTTATATTGTTTACTAAATATGCTGCCTTTCTTGCTCCCATTAATGAAAATTAGATCTGAAAAGAAGCTTCCTTTCAGATGTGCTCCATTTTGCTTGCAAATTGTTTTTAAAACTGGCCTTCAATATAGGAAGGGGAAGCAGTTTGATGCCTTTTGGAAGGGTGTGTTTTTTCCATGAGATTCCCCCAGCTGTTTGTGCCTCTGTGCTAGGGAAGCTGCTTGGCCCCAGCCAGTCTTAGTCCCAGCCTCAGGCTGGGCTTATTCTGTAGTAAAACTGTTGGTTACAACCTGCGCAGACCCTGCCTGGGGGAGAGCAGCCGTCCTGGCCTGTTCAGTGCTGCAGGAAGAGCAGGTAGGGAAGAGGTAGGGAAGAAAACGGCTCTTTCCTAGCCAGGCCGTGTCTCCCTGAGCACATTAAAATAACCGTGTAATTTATATCTGTGTCTTTTCCTGGCACCTGCTGCTTGGCAGTGTGTCTGTGACCAAGGCACTCTCCTTTTCATCTTGTATTCTTCCTGCCTAATGTACATACTGTCACCAAAAATCAGTATTTTATTACTGAAATATTTCCATGCTGGAAAATCCAAATGTTAAAAAAAGTTTTGTTTTATAGATTAGATGCTTCTGTTTAAGAAAAGAGTAATAAGCAGTGGGAATAAGAATGGAATAACAGTGCATTAAGCTTCGCTGATGTAATATTCCTTGCATCACCAGAGGATCTGTAGTTAGGTACCTGTCCCTTAAGAGGAGGGAAGGGTGCAGCATCCAGTGAAAGGTGATACGTGCTGTGTCCACGATGCTTTACGTTCCCTTTGCAGAGGAGCCCCCTGGGCCGTACCTGGCACACACATACGGCTGCTTGCAGCGAGTGGCTCGCGTTGACAGCAAGTAACATGTTCCTTGACTCTTGTTTGTGTGGAGGTAGTGTGAACATGCTGGAGGTGCCTGTGGAGACCTCTTTTCTCTTAAAGTGTTACGACATAAAGCAGGAAGCAGCCTTGAGTACTGCAGATTTAATTTAGCAACCTGATGTCAGAATGTGATAACTGCTTTCTACTTCATTCTGAAATTCCGGATTAAAAAGCTTATTTGAAATTCAGTTACTGTTAGAGCTGCCTTTATTCTTCATTCCTTTCAGCGTTACAATTTGCCAAAGGCTGTTTAAGGAGCAGTTGTCCTTGCAGCTCAGAAAGTGCAGAGGAGGAATGGCAGTTTAGGCTTCTGTTTTCTCAGTTTTTATCTTGCAAACTGGGGTAACTGAGCTGGTTCCTCTCCATTGATGGTTGATTTTTTTTTTTCTTAATGACTATGGACATTTATTCATTAAATCTGATAAATTCTGACTTGTCTGTCTATTAAACGTCTTGATACTTGGTGACCAGTTGCTAATCACACTGCACCTGACACACTGAGTTCGGGTAGTGAAAGGCAGGATGTAAGTCAACAGCTTTCCAGACTTTTGGCATTTGGCGAAGTAGTGTTTTATGGATGTGCATTTCCATATAGAGAATCTATACAGAGGTTTTTTTGTGATGGTTAAAGGTTCTCAAGCTTCTCATATACCTTTCATTGCCACGATGTCATGTTATTTTGTGGACAAGGGGACCCAGGGTGAGGGCAGGATTCAGTTTTAAATTAGTCCCTAGTGTTTACACAAGTAAAAGCTTATTCCATCTCTGTATCATATTAAAAATTGCATTAAAGGTTAGATCTTTCTCAGAGGCAAGTTCTGCTGCTCTGCATCACTTACTTAGCTATGGCATTTAGTGCTGTTACAAGTTAAATAGGATTTTGTTTCATTTTGAAAATAAAATGTAAACTAAAATATGCAAATTCTCTCAGGGAAATTCTTCTCATAAAGAAGGATCCACCCTTGGGAATCTATTACACTCTTACTTTTTGTTTCTTTCCTACCAAAGTGCAGTATTTGACTAGCTTTATTACTGCTCTCCATAAAAATCAAGTCTTTGCTGAGACTCTTTGTGGGAGCTTCTCTAAGATGCCAAGTGTTCAACCTGCTTTTCCAGGAGCATGTTATTTTTATTAAGCCTTTACTTAATAACCAAAGCTGACACTGGGATATTAACCTGTTTATCACCTTCCAGGGCCAGTAAATTCTCTTTTATTTCAGTGCAGTTTATTTCAGTGCCTGTCATCAAGTGTTTTGTCCAAAGATGTGGGAATGGATTGGAGCTTTTTCTCTCCATCTCTTCAAATATCCCAGTAATCACTCTCCAAGCTCCCTCTTCCCATGGCTCTGTCCAGGGCCAAGTGTCCTCAACTCTCACTCGCTCTGCCATGTCACACATACAAAATTTGCCTAATGTCTCTGGAACGGGAGCTTGGAGCTACTCGGCAGTAACCCTGTATTGCAGACTTGTTACCAGTGTCTAACTTAAAAATGCTAATGGTGTTGGTCCCCAGGCCGCTCCTGGGCTTGTACCAAGGGTCAGCCTAACGTGTGGCCAGCTCATGCCTCTCAAAACATTTTACCATTCCCTTCTCTCCAATCTCTGTCTATCTTAATGCACAGTGATGCATTTCTTCAGGCCCAGTTTGGTCCCCTAAATGTTAGATGGATGTGGAAGTTGTAATTTCTTCCTCTCTTCAATCGCTTCTGCTTAATTTACCTTTCTTCTCTTTCTTGTTGTGCTTTCTCAAGCATGTTCTTTAACCCCCTCTTTTTTGTCTCCGAAAAGAGAATTGGCTTCTGGTCAGTAGTTTGAGGTTGATGTCTCCTTCTCTGGAGATCTTCAGAACCCGCTTGGACGCAGTCCTGTGCCACGTGCTCTAGGTGACCCTGCGTGTGCAGGGGGGTTGGACTAGATGACCTCTAGAGGTCCCTTCCAACCTTAAGCATTCTGGGATTCTATGATTCTGTGACGTGCTGTGTTCCACTGTGTATCCTAGGTGCCCATAGGAATCAGCAGGAGTGTAACTTTACGTTTTAGGAGAGAAGCAGTCTAGAAAAATAAAAAAGGATCGCTTTACTGGAGAAGGTGCAGTGATTTAATAGTCCTCAGCAGACAGAGTTTTTTAGGCTTGAGCATCTTTGCAATTTTCTTGGCAGGCCATTGAAGAACTTTGTTGCTGGGATCTGTGAACTCTAATGGGTTTGTTCCTATTCAGTCTGTTGCACCCATAGTGTGCGCTTTGTATGTGCTGTCTTTGCTTGGTTTCGTGCTCTGCTGAAGAGTGAGGGAGCTGAGATTTTTCCAAGAGATGCAACTGAAGTTTAGATTGAAAATGAGAAAATGAAACTGAAATGAAACTGAAAATGAGAGTGTCTAATTGCACTTGTTTTTAATGACTGGGACTTTCTTTTGATGCTAGGTGATGCAGATGTACCTCCCGTTTTGTGGGATTGCCATATCCAATGCCCAGTTATTTGCAGCTTCAAGGAAGGAATATGACAGAAGCAGGGTAAGTAAAAATGTATATTGGACCAATATTAAACGATTTTTTCCCCTCTCTGATTCAAGCTCTGCACATATATTTGTTAAGCAGACTTTTTTTTTTAATTATATTTCATTTCAAAACAATGCATTGACAACAGACAGCGCACTTAATTCAGGTAGCAAGCCGAGAAGGTAGGAGGTAAATATGCTCTTGGTGGTAGCCATTGTTTTGCAGGGTCAGCTTCGTGTTATATAACACTGAGACTGGGTGTGTAAGATAGACTGTGCAGTAGAAAGAGTTACATGGCCACAGATTCAAAATCTCTTAAAATTCCAGAAAGATCAAACTTCTGATGTCCTAGACTTGTAATATTCGTGTGGATATAATGATATTCATGTGGATATAATATATTCCTTTCTAAAAGTAAGCAAGCAGAATCCCTGAGCATGAAGGGTTTTGACAGCATGTGTTTGCATAGATGTACTACTCATGGTTGCTGATGCTGTGCATGATTTGGGGCAGGTGGTTGCGAACTATTGAAAATAATACTGAGCTCACGTTTACTTATCAGCATTTTTTAAAATAAAACGGGCTGTTGAAGTCTTTTTTTTTTTTCCCAAACTATTGGATTTTTTTCAATAGCCTTTCCTGCAATTACATATACTACATTTGTTATTACATATTGTATCCTACAAAGCTTCAGTAGAACTGCTATCTGTTGTGTCTAATTTCTCTTTCTCTGTAACCTGGCAAACTGCAGTGCTCTGTATGACACTGATGCTCCAGGCTCAGGATTTTGGTGCCTTCCATGTACAGAAGTTAGTGCTTTCCACTGTTTCAAACACTAAGAATAGCCCTTTATTATTATTATTATTATTATTATCTGATGTTAAAGTAATTGTTTGACAACTCCAAAACTTAAAAATTGTTACAAACCCTCAACCTTTAGGGACAGTCCTTGGAGGGATCAACATTTAATCTTCTGAGAAAGACATTTGGCAGAGAAATACTAAGTACATTCTCATTCTTCATTATGAAAGGGTAAATTCTTGAGGGTAGACAGACATCTCATCTCAGGAAATTGGGAGAGACGCATATTCCTTGCTCTTGTTGCTTCAGTCATGGGAGGCATGACAAATGTCAATGCCGCTTGACAGTGCTATGATGGCCAAAATCAAGAACAAAGATTCCACCTCCTTGGCTATTATTCACTTGTTTTGCTTGTGGAAGTAATAAATAAGACTTTTCTGTCCTTGTCTGCAGGCTTTGTTGGAAGTAGTGAATGATCTCTTTGAGGAACAGACTGACTTGGAGAAAATTGTCAAGAAAATCATGCATCGGGCCCAGACTCTGTTGAAGTGTGAGCGGTGCTCAGTGTTACTTCTGGAAGATATTGAGTCGCCAGTAAGTTCATCTTCAAATTCAGAGAAGTTTTAGCATATGAGCAGCGTAACAGCTGTTTTTATTGTTAATATCATGCATAAATAGTGGACAGAGAGTGTTCTTTCAGCATATAATTCTGAAATATAAATTAGGTTCAGGTCAGATCTTGATCAACGTGGCTTTTCAAAGGGAGGCTGGAACTTATGTTTGTGATTTGTTTTGCTTGCTTAAGGCAGTTGATGAAATGTCTGTAAGTCCGTGCTGAATCTGACCACCAGTGGTGTGATCCAGCTGATGTCCTGTGGTTCTTGATGCAATTAGTGCGTACAAAGCAGCCAGGGGCACCTTAGCTGACAAAAAAAATGCTCCTCTGGTCAGCTTAGAATAGAAAAATTACCTGATTTGTTACCAAATATTTATTTTCTAGATTCCTTTCTTCCATAGTGTAGCCAGTAGAAGGGAAGAAATGCCCATTCTGTATCTTCAGTTAAATTTAACTGGAACTTAAAACATTGCTATCGTTTTCAGGCTAATGCCATATAAAGTCTGTGTTGCTTGCTGGTGGTTTCAGAACCAAAAACAGTTGCATTATCAACAAGTTTTTAATGTTTATTTTTAGAACTAATCTTTTCAGTTCACATTTCAATAAGTAATCGTCAGCCACCCTTGCTAATATTTCTACAGTGTTCATTCTTTTGGATCTGTCATTGTTTAAATGTAGCACACTGAAGTACTGATGTAGTTTCCCTTCTAGTGTGTAGCATTTTGGTTTCACATAAAAAACTTTAATCAGATTACTGCTCCCTCAGAAATAACAGATAAAAATAAACCTACCAAGGCATTCTTACCTGACCATCCTCTCCATTCAGCAGCTCAGTGAGCTTTACACCACTCAAATCCTGTTTTTATAATGGTCAGCTTGTGAACTCTCTTATGTCAGGAATGTTTTGTGTGAAATCCAATATTTTATTGTAGATGAAAAACAAGACAGTAAGGGTTGAACCTGTAACACAATGAATTTTCTCAGCAGTTCTAGTTGGGATTTGCACCTTCCTGAAAGCTTTCTATGCACACTAGCTGTTGGTGAGGTATGACTGGGAGCAGCTATATTTATGTTGTACGTTTTAACATGTTCCTTTAGTAGTATTTGGGAAGTACTCTGTAAACTAAATAATGAGAATTGGTCTCAGCTCCCAAATGATGAAAATGCTATGAAAAGATTGGTTGTCTCGTTATTTTGACCTGGTAATTGTTCCCTGAGGTGACAGAAAACCCACTGAAGGAGATTTGAATGCAAATGTCTAGATAGTCACTTATTTGTTCTTGGTATGGGAGCGAATTTTTGCATTGAGCAGGGGAAGGGAAAGCATGGCTTTCAGCACTATTCAGGCATGCTTGTTATTTTCCAATTTTTTCTGTCCACTTGAGCAAAGGATAATTATTTTGTCGCCGAGCTCAGCTCGGTGAATAGGTTGAGGCAATCTATATGGAAGTATTTAGCAAGAGTTAAATTTCATGCACAGTTTTGGCTTGGGCTTTTACTGGGTCTCTCTAATGCTGCTGTTCAAGAAACTGTCAGTACTCTATGAAGAATCTGTAACATTATTGCCATTTTTATGATTATCATTATTATTGAGAAAGCAACTGTCTTTTTATTTGTAGTTCCTGCTTGTGTTTTGAGGATAATCAACACAAATAAACTATCAGCCTTTCTATTGATTGAAGAAATAGTTGAGGGATAAAGAAGTGTTATTTGTAATACCGTTTTCTTCCTCTCCAAATACCTTGGGATTCACTGACTCTGTAATTGATTATTTGTTGTAGGGTTGTGTGTCTAAATGATGATCAGAGAGGCAATCACAAGTGGATGTGTCTGTGTTTAGGGCAAAAAAAACATTACTTTGTTTCCTGGAGGAAAGATACGGTTCTCATTTCACTTACGCTAATAGAAATTAATTAATTTTAGTGAAGTATGCCCTAAATTATACTGGTATTCATAAAAGCTGGATCGACATTGTTTTTCAGTTATGTATTCTGTTATAGAATTTTAATATTTCTGTTTTATTTTCCCATTTTAGACCCCCCTGTAACAATTTCATAATTATGTTTTCCTACTATGTTTCTATGGAATGTTATTATGGTCGCAATTATAATACGAGTATTACTTTTATAGAAGAGTATATTATTTTGGTAGTAGGTTGTGGATGGTATTGCTTTTATTTTTTTCTGCTGTTACTATTATTTCCTACCTTTGAGAAGAGAGTTTTTTTGCCAGACCCAGATAATGAGGCCTCAGGCCTCATTACTCTAGACCAAATCCTGAAATATGGTCAGTTGAAGTAACCAGTTAAGCTTAAAAAGTATCAACAATATTTTTTTTCTTCTTTAATTTGGAGTAGGAGATATATATCGAAATATATCTGCATAGAGTTACTCAATTTTAAGCCATATCTAAAATGTTCATCATTTGTACATCATATGAAAATATTTTATAATGTGGATTTGAAGTGGAATATAGGGAATCACCCTAGCACCAAAAAACCATTGTCTGGATTCTCTGTCACATCCGCCAGGCTTAAAACTGTGTGTGTATTTACTGCTGTTGGCAGATGTGCAGATACCACATGTTCAAGGGAAATTGGACACCATTAGTACTGTAAATAGATATTTCTATTTATTTTCCTGTACATAAAAAAAAATAGTGAAGTTGTGGATAAAGTTCCATAATTTATGTCCCAAAGTCCTTTGAAGAAAAAGAACATTCTATTGCAAAAAAGTTTTATGAAGGAGGCTTGGAAATATGAATTGATTTGATATTGCTTGTATATGAATTACAAATAGGAGATAGTTTCAGCATGAATTCTCCATTGCAACAATATTTTAAGATCACAAGATTTAAAAAAAAAATCATAAAAATGTAGGAACCTGTTACTACTATTTTAGTGTGTGTGTAGCATTTTAAATAACCATTTTAATATCCTTTTTTCTTTTTATGTGACAGGTGGTGAAATTCACAAAGTGCTTCGAACTGTTATCTCCAAAGTGCAGTGCAGATGCTGAGAACAGGTTAGCCCTCATGTCTTCTATGGTAATGGATTGATTCTCCCCCCCACCATAGTTTTAAATTTGTTTGATCTTAATTATGTTTTCATATGGAACTTTGAGTAGAATTGAGAGAGCCTGAGCTTAAAGCTTTACTCAGATAAAACTCATGTTCAGCTCCAATGCAGTATGGCTTGAATAACATACATGCTAATATTGGTATTTACAAACTAAAGTATCACTATCTCGGAGAAGACACCATGAAGCAACTGACGTCTTCTTATTGTTGGTGTCATGGAGAACATGCAAATGTTGTTCTGTGTGGTAAGCACTGAAGTAAAATAACAAAATTATTTTAGATCAGTGTCTTACAAAATGCCCCCTTGCGGTTGTGTTGAAAGGTTTCCAGTAAGATTTTGATTTTTTTTCTCTAATCCTCAAGCTGTTAGGCCTGCGAACCTCGGAGGATATGCATTTGCTAAAAACTATGTTCCTGTGGCCAAATCTCAGCTGGCAGCCCAGTCAAAAAAAGTATATTTTGCTTAGTGGGATCTATACTTAAGCCTTGATAAAAAAGCTAACTGTAAGAGGTGGTACAAAGACATTTTTCTTCACTTGGGGTTACTATCTTAATTCCTACGAGGAAATGTAATGAGCTCATATAAAAGGGTTTACGTACTGAATGTGTGCATGAAGATTCAGAGCTGTTATTTAAAGGTTTCTGTCATCTGCTAGGGCTCAAACTCAGTGGTTGTCATATACTGTATTACATGCAACCTAGTTTCATACCAATTTTGAATTAAAATTTTCGATGCAGAATCCTTGCTGCAATGATAAATCTAACTTTTTGTTTATCCTGGTATCAGTAACTTAGCAGGCTTGGAGATTACTTAGCAGTTCTCCATAGTTAAGCCCTTTAAGCAGTAGTATTTGAAAAAAACTTGAAGGAAAAAATTCCTCCTTTAGTATATCGTCTCCAGTGTGGTAAGGCAGATATGTGCCTTGTGCAGCAGACTACAGTAATTCATAATTCGTGATGCTTTTCACGGAGCGATCTCACGGCATTACAAAAATGGACAGCTCCGTTTTTAAGATACACAACCTATCAGCAGTTACCACTTTTGACAAAGAGCTTGAGAGCAGCAATTGCTCTTTCCTGGTTCAATTAAATGGATGAAAATAGGTTCCTTTTACTCAGGGACAGCAATATGAATCGAGAGTTGTTAATTGTTATTTTTGTTTTTCACAAACTTGATCCATAGCCAGATTAGTCAACACAGTGTAGAGTGGTGTCAAGATAACCAAGCTGGTCTTTTCTTGTTACCATAGTTATATGAGCATCTTACCAAAAAGCAGGTTTTAGTAGCCTGCTCTGCATGTGCTCAACTTGAGCTTACTCCGAGACACATGGATCTGCATATGCAACTGGGGAGCCATTCTTTAAAGATTTATAGAGTTATATTTCTGTACATCTTGGTATAAAGATATACTGCTTTCCTTTCATTTTTCGTTCAGTGGAGAACAAAGTTGGTTTTACAAAAATGAAGTTTAGACTGGCAGATATGACATCACATTTGGATCTAGCACAGGCACAGCTTGTGTTATTGGCACTGCAGTGGGAAAATAAAGGTTATTTAGGATACAGAATAATGCCTGGAGCCCCTGACATTCAAGCTTTTTTTTTTTTTTCTGGTGAATTGTGCCCTTTTCACTCTAGATTCTGCAGACCCAACTGATGAGAAGTCACGAGATGTTTCACATGAATTAAAATGGCATAGAGTGCTACTCCTTCATTGTTACTCCAGTTAAATATTATATATTTGGATTTTTTGTGAAAAATTATAATGGGGAATTATAAGGGGAAAATTATAAGGGGAATTATAAATGGAAACTGGTTGTATGAGGTTTTATCTGAAAGAGGGGAAAAAAGCTTTAAGGATGATATATCTTTCCAAATTATAACACATTTTCGCTTTGATTTTAGAAGAAATTGCTATTTGCTTGGTAACTCCCTAAACATTGCAACGAGTACGCCTATCTCTTTTTTTTTTCTTTCTTTCTTTTCTGCTTTTTGTAAAGAAATACCTTGCAAGACCACACATGGATTTGTGTGCATAATTTGTCCCTTTCCAGGGATACCTGCCCCAGATCGAGTTTAGTTCTCATTCATGTTGGTACACTGATGCTCTTGTTCTTTTTTCCAGCCATTTAGTTCAAGTTCTTTCTTAAATTTGGCCTCTCTTTGAAAAAATATCCCTCTTTATTTGTGGTGATCTGAGAAGCCTCGAGGATTCTGTTCTCATGTGCTCTGGGCACGTGTGAGCCAGGGGGAAGTTGCCGTGGGCCCCGTCTTTCCTACACAGAAGTCATCCCGGTGGATGCCACCCTGGGCTCCACATTCCCTAACGCGAGCATGGGTGGCAGGTCAGCTCCTTCCACCCCAGCATGGGAGAATATCCGCGTTCCCTCCCAGGGAGGCTGCTGCAGGACGTGCTGAAATCCTGGTCCAGACACACAAACTGCAGCTCCCCGGAGCCCCTTGAGCAAATTCTGCTGCTTCTCTGGCGCTTGCTGCCCATGCAAGAAGGGAGGAGGTGGCGTAGAGCCTGCATCAACGCAGCAAGATTCAGGGCTTCCTATAGCGGGGGAAAGAAAAATGTTGCTGGTGATTTTTTTTACAGTGGCTTCTGTTTGTTCTGAGCAGCAGAGGATGGAGGCTGAGCCAGCTGGCTGTAATTTAGCTCTGAATTAAACACTGATATTTCCTCCCAGTGAAAGTTGGGTCTCTCCTCTGTGCGGTTCTTGAAGCGTTGCTAGGAACGTAGGCGACGCAGCAGAACGTACCTTGAAAACTTCTTTCTGAATTATGTCTTGATTATTTAACTTGAATTAATTTGCCACTTTAAATGCTTGACACCCATAATCCAGTCCTGATTCAAAGTCTCTCACAATCATATCTTTCAAATTTCCATCTTTGCTGTATATCTTGTATCTCTTACAATTTTATGGCTGTTTTTTCCTAAGATATGCACTGAGCGCTATGCATCTGTAATGAAAATCCTACCTTTAAACAATTTTTGTTTCTCAAGTACATTGACGTCCTAAAGTAATTTTTAAATTATACAATAAATTTTTATACTTCAGTTCAACAATGCTGTGTTTGAATATAGGTCCCTGTCCAAGTATTTTGCATAACATTTGTTACACTTGCTCAAAATGCTTATCCTTAAATGAAAGTTGATGTCCTGAGATTTCTTGGTGTAAATCATTCTTACCATCTCTGTAGTCTTCTAAGAATATTGAGTTTTCTTTTAAATGAGTGATTAGATGAATTTGTCTTCAGAAAAAGAATACAGTTCCCCCAAAAAATCAATCCTTTCACCTTCATTGAGTCCTCAAACAACTTTACTTGCACCCTTCTTCCATTCCCATACATTCCTTTGGAGTTTCTAGCCATTGCAGCCTTTCCCATGGCTGACTGCTCAGAGGCACTTTTTCCTCAACAGATGTGTGTCGGGCATTGAAAGTTAATTGAATTTCTCCTCAAAACTAAGATGACATGAGTTAATTTATTCGCAGATGCATAACTACCCCTTGCCAAGGTCACGCACGTGTTTGCAGTAAGTCGGTGAGAATGAGCTCGATGAGAGGCACGGGACGAGGACCTTGGAGTCTGTACGGGTGCTAAGCTTCCTGCAGGAGCTGTGACAGCTGGTGCTGAGGCAGCCCGAGATGCTGGTGCCCGCGCGGGTTCCCTGCGCCCTGCAGCCCCGCGCGGGAGGTGGCCGGAGCTCAGCCAGGAGCAGGGAAACCTTCCCGCGCTCCCTGTCCGGCCGCATCGCTCCTGCGGCCGCGCGCTGTCGATCCCAAGGCTTATTCTGTGATCCCTTCTCCAGCCACTCGAGAATCACAAACCAGACCCAAAGAGTTGGCATTTGACCTGAACAAATAATCAGAGTGAATATGAATTAAAGTACCTCTGAAGTATTAGACTAATTTGAAAAAATTAACTCTAAAAATACATGCTTCCAGGTAGCTCTACAAAGAATGCTGTTTAGAATGATCTGCTTATTTAGAATGGGAACAAGCCTATATCCTTTGGAAAGCTGGAAGATAATCCCCTTCTTGATTCATATGTAACCGCCTGTCATTACTGAACATTGCATGTAATTTATACAGTAGACCAAGGTTATTTCAGAAAAACTAGTGAAAGGGAAAGATTCCTTCATGTACTATTTTGACAAAACGAAATTATTGTTCTGTAAATAATTCATGGTAACCAGTGATGACTGTGAACAATTGCACTGTCCTTATGATTATGCCTATCAGACAAGTTGGGCTTTGCAGCCACGCTGACTGTAATGTTTTCTTCCCTTGCTGTGCTGTGTGATAGTTTCAAAGACAGCGTGGAGAAATCATCATCTTACTCCGACTGGCTAATAAATAACAGCGTTGCGGAGCTTGTAGCTTCCACAGGGCTCCCAGTGAACATCAGTGATGCCTATCAGGATCCTCGCTTCGATGCTGAGGTAGGAGAGTTTTAGAAATGTTAACGTACATCCTATTTTTAGCACTGTAGTAATGAAGTATAATTTTTATTAGCAACTTTGAAGGGCTGCAAAGCATGTGAATATTTGTACAGAATTGTGCTTTTGTTTCCAGCATGTGTCCTGCTCCTGGTCCTTTGGTGCTGGCATGGCTTTATAGAGTGATCATAAGTCACTGGATCAGTGTATAACTATGGGCGGTTACTCTCCATCACTGCTTTAAGAATGATACTTCTTCTTGTATCAAGTGCTTTGAGCTTTATGCAAACTGGGTTTTATTGCCTCACATTGCACTGCTGGTGTTCTGTGGTGGAGCCAGTGTTGTAGGCTGTAGGGGTGACGAGGACTGTGTGCACACAGACCATAAACAGAATCGGTATCTAGAGAGACAAGTGTTGTTTTTAGTTTGATTTAGCCAACTACCCTTTTAATTCAGTAATTCTGCACGTGTGAAATATCCACACTGATCAGGTCATTTCTTCAAGATGCATATCATTCCTGATAAAAATTGTGTGTGCATCCCAACGTACTCATTCGAGTCTTAGCTAGAATTGAGTAGATTTAGTTAAAGATGCATACATACGCCTTGCATCTATATACTGTTAGAGGCATATGGAAGGACAAAACCTTCACTGAATACTGTCTGGTGAAACAGAATCACCACGGGCAACTCGTGCAGCATGTTACTCAGTGGCAGAACCAGTCAGCAAGCTCATGAACCCAGACTGCAGCAACAAGAAGTGAGCTTGGAAGCGTTTTTGTTATGGAGTCTCCTTGGCTCCAGTTTCGTAATACCTTATTATAAGGAATAGCTCTCAAACCAGCAGAATTTGTCTGCACTGATGCTAATTTGTTCAGAACTCCACAACGTAGGAATGATGCCTGTGGACTCTTTCCTGTCTCAGAGATGGGCTGAAGTAGAGGATGCCAATCCTTGATGTGTTTGCAGCTGTGCTTTTAGGCCATGTCCTGAGTAATTCAGCCTTCTCGTGTCTGTTTCATAGTTAGTCCTCTCAAAGTTACAGGCACTACCCAATTTAAATAGAGAATGAAAAATTACCTAATACCCGTGGCAGTAATTATTTTCTGCTGGAAGGTTCGTATAAAAATGCAGTTCTCAAATTCAGTTGTTAGAATCATTGATCTACACACAGGGGTACTAAAAGAGGAGCATGTTATCCCTTACGTCCTAGACAGAATGAATATGCAGCTGAAGTTATGAACATAATCTGTTCTGTGCCTATACTAAAAACACTCTCTGTCAGCTGCTTTCTTTCTACACTAATGGTCATTTTAAAAGTTTTCATTAAAAAAAAAAGCAAAATCCCCAGTTAATTCACGAGAATTTAATGCCAAATTATTTTCATGAAGTTTATTTTTGAAAGTACATGTAGGGCAATTTTACCCCCCTCTCCCGTGGATTTTAGGGGGCACTCCAGTCTGATTTCAGTGATGTGTTCTGTGTACGTTTGGATTAGTAGTACTCTCAGAAACCTGAACTCCAGCTTCCCTAGCTCGGAGATCACAGTAATTCCATCCTGCCTTGATTGAGTCTGTGAATTATCACTGTCTTTTTCTTTTGTTACAGATTGCCTTAAGCATCAGCAGTTTTAGTAAGAGAACATCTCCTGACATTTTCTTTGAGTGGGCTCATCCCACTGTCTTAGTTTTGCTTAAAATCTTCTTTGATAAAGTATTTTATTTATTGAGATTTTGTAGAAATAACTACGAAGAATGAAGCTGATTCACCATAGAAAATAAAGAATCAATTAAATTTATAGTAAATGATAAAGCTTTATACTAGGCTATATTAGTTAAAAACAAACAAAGGACACAAAGTTCTCTTTAGAACTACAACTACAAATAACATTTGTACGGAAATTCTCAAATCTTGGTTTTGTTCACATCAATTTCTTCGCAGACTGCACTTCTTTAGAGGAGTTGTCTGGACATGTACACAGTCACAGTTTGCCTTTAATTTAAAATCAAAGTGTACATTCTCAGTAGCAAAGATAGTGATTTTTGTATTTGGCGTTTTTTTAGAGTAGTCCTTGTGACTTTGAGCTAAACCATGAATGAGGTATGAGCTACTCTAAGTGGAATTACATGAACTTTGTAAATGTAACCTTACGGGCCTTCTGCTTGGCGTACCTATTACTAGAATTTCAGAGTCTGTGAATGATAAGCTGTCGTTGATGGGAGCCCTCGTTTCTACATTTCAGGCTGACCAGATTTCTGGCTTTCACATAAGGTCTGTTCTGTGCGTTCCTATATGGAATAGCAGCCACCAAATAATCGGTAAGATGTTCCTCATAGCCTTGCCGTTTTTGTGCTAATGTAAATTCAAATCTGTCTTTTTAATTCTATGTTCCTTTTTCTTCTTTTTCCCAGCTAAATATTGTTAAGAAGTTACGGTACCTAGGATGCATGCTAAGTATCCAAGAAGGGATGTTTTGACTGGGATGCTGTATGGACTTGTTCAGCTTTCCCATTGGTCCCCTTTTAAGCTATATGTTGTATTGAAGACTAACGAGAAAAAAACTGAAATTCTAGCAACATTGGTGTAAAATGTGTAGTGTGCTTTGGTAGTGTTCCTGGCTCTCCCTTTCTGGTGCACAGTGGGGCAGCTGTTTCTGCAGTCCAGCAAAGTGGCTGTTTCTCTCTTTAATGATCAAAATACCCAGTCAGAGAAGATTTCCTGAGGCGGCTGTGGCAGCTGCCAGGGCTCCCGCGGCGCTGCTGCTGCCAGCTCAGAAAAAACTTCCCTGCTCCCCACGGGCCCCCCCAGCCATGAGGCTGCCATGAGGCACACGAACCTGCCTCGCTACCAGATTTTGGAACAAGAAAAAATAAGGCACTATTTATAACTAACAGCACCAAATTCCTCTGCGTCTTCCACTGAGGAGTTTGGGGCAAGGCTGTAGCGATATAAAGCAGCAGAGGGGAGGTGGGGGACAAGACAAGCACGGGCGTGTGGCGGGGCCGGCGGCGTGAGGCCCGCGCGGGACCGGGGCGGCCGAGCTCAGGCAGCAGCTGTGGGAACGGGGCCTTTCGGGAGCGGGGTTCTGGTGAGGCACGTGGCAGCTTGAAGAGGCAGCAGAGAAGCTCGGCTGCTGAGGGGTCTTAGGGTGTATCCCTAGGTGAAATAGAAATGATATCGAAGTGGAACTCGGCATTAGCGCAGCTATGGCCAATGGCTTTGAATATTCTCTCTCTCTCTCTCTCGTTTAAAGAAATAACATTTTTTCAGTTGTTCAATAAATACCTGGATGAATCATAGAATGCTTAAAGTTGGAAGGGACCTCTAGAGGTCATCTAGTTCAACAATAATAGGAGGAAAAAAAAAAAGGCCATAAATACCCAGATTGTGCTAAATTAAAGTTTTAGGACTCAAGGTACTGATTCCACAAATTACATAAGCAACTTGAAATTACAAGGACAGCCTACATGCTTGCTGTTAGCAAAGTACTTTTCAGAATCAGGTGTATAAGCATTTATGCAAAGTATTATGAGTAAAGTTGTTTTCAATTGCTAAGTTCACGCTTACAGAACAAAAAATAACAGTTGAACGCTATAAACTGACCCCTGGTTTCAAAACAATCAGAATTCCAGATAGTAATATATGCTTAGTATATTCCAGAATAAATATTTGCAATTTTGCTTTTTATTTTTTAAAATATTTTTTAAATACTACTAATGAATATAATATTCTGCATTATGAGTTAATGAGTAAAGATTATAATTCATATTAACTCTTTCTAAAGGGGTAGCTCAAGTGTTGAACAGGCTGGATGGGAAACCCTTTGATGATGCCGACCAGCGACTGTTTGAGGTAAGAGGCATTCAGTTTTGTAGCAGAATTTGATATTTTGGGGTAATCCTGCTTCATCCTTTTGCGGGGAAAAGAATACCAGATCTGTATTTATGGTCAGCACCTTTTGTACCACTTTTTTGTTGCTGTAGACATGATTTTTTAGTGTTCAAGTTGATTTGTTTTGGCTTACCAGCTAAGCGCAGAGTCCTGGTGTACTTGTCCCTAAATATCTGTGTGCAAGTACACAGGTATACACACATTTCATTAGTGGGTTTTTTGTTTGTTTGTTTTTTACTTAAGCAATTTCACTAATCATGATTTAGATACATTTGTAGAATCCTTTTTTGTATGTGGAAAGTAGTGCAATAAAAGAACCTTATATTTGTCTTCAATCTCTGTGTAACATTTGAAGACATGACCTACAATAAACAAGATTTCCTGCAAGCCAGAATGAACCTCGTAGTTCTATACTTTCACTTAAAATACAGTAATTTTAACCATTATCATGTCTTCAAATCATCTGCCAATCATGTGTTTGCATAAGGTAAAATTTTGGTCCCTGGACTGTCAAGTTACAAATAGAAAAAAGATTGTATGTCAAGCAATTGCCTATTTTAGTTTTTGAAATTGGTGGATACTATGCTCAGTGTTCTCCCTGGAAAACAGATTGCTTGAAAAATAGGGATATTACATAAAAAGGTTCTTTTAATGGCCATTTATTCTTGTATAGCAAGTGTATTGTCCTGTATCCCCCAGATAACATGCTCCTAAATTTCTATAATTTATGTTTTCTGTTTTATTAATCCTACTAATCCTCTTTAATAAATTAAGCCAGCAGTGTCTCTTTGTGTCTCACAAAGAGGAAAGTGCACCAGCAGCCTCAATATTTAGCAGCTCTTTACTGCTCAGACAGGGCAACTCCCTGCTTCCCAATTCAATAAATCACCTTAGCAGTTCTTAATTGTATTTGTTAAATTTTTAAGAGCCAGAGTATGGGAATGTTCCCTCACTGTTGTAGCCACCTAAATTACAGAGTGCTGCCCGCGTTAGGCAGCCTTTTCTGTGCTAGGCTATTGAGCCTGCCCTGCAGCGTTCCTGCTGAGAGCGTTGGGAACGGGCCCTTGGGAAGGGGCCGGAGCGCTTGCTCAGGGTTATGCAAGCAGGTTGTGGGAGTAACTGGCTGTTTGCAGGCAAAATACACAAGTCCTGAGCTGGCACGAATGGAAAAGCTTGAGAGGGTCAGGGTGAGACAAACACTGCGGTGAGGTGACCTTCCTCGTCCTCCTCCTCCTCCTCCTGCGGTGCTCGCTGCCCCAGTGCAGCAGTGTGCAGCCCTGTGGACAGGGTGCCGGTGGCACCCCCGGCAAGAATGGCCAGGATGGGGATCTGGCTCCTCCAAGACCTTCTCCGGGTTGGGCTTGAGGAGCTGACCTGTACAAACTATTGCCATTGGCCTTGAGAAGGATTCACTTGATAAAGTTGCATCCTAATTAAAGCACATTTCTTGCATCTTACCTTTTCTTGCTCAAGGTAGTGACCTAACTGCGTTTTCTAGGTAACCTGTCCAAACCAAATAATTCCTAGAATTTGTAGCCACTTTCTTTTCAGTGGCTAGGACCACATTCATTTTTATGTTTGTATTATAATCAAATTATTTGTTTTTTCTCTCTTTTTAGGCTTTTGTTATTTTTTGCGGTCTGGGCATTAACAACACGATAATGTATGACCAAGTGAAGAAATCCTGGGCAAAGCAGTCTGTGGCTCTTGATGTATGTGTGCACCTTAATTAAACCTTTCTCACTCATCACATGTAAAGGAATCTACTGCTTCTAAATTTGTTGTAGAGAGCATAATTTCCTGTGTATACCTTTCTACACCTTAGAATACTATTTTATTGAAATAATACTAAAGGGAAACTTTCTCAGGGTACATTTAGCTGTGGAGCTTGCCCTCAATTTAAGTAATTTTGAACCTAGTTTCTTAAGTTTGAAGCAAATTTCTTAATTTTGAAGCAAATTTCTTACACAGGCATATGTAGGAATGAATCTAGCCCTTAAGTGTATGTTCTTACCCATCAATAACTGAAAACTTCTGGAATACGCTATTTTAAATAGCTTATAGCAACATAGCTTATTTTTCTTATAGAACTCTCATAAGACTAATTAATAAACAGAAGACCAAAATATAAATAAGTGATGGGAACCAAATGTGACAAAGGTTGATAGTAGGATACCAAATACCAGGGCAAATTCTACTGTGTTTTCTAATGATGCAAAAACTGCAAATGATTAAAAATTAGAATAATCAACATTCGGGAAGACTATCTAGGGGATAGTGGATGCAGATAAAGTAGAAGCCTGACAAGAATTTCAGTTTTGTGTCATCTATTTTAGCAGAAGAAATCATTTTTAATAACAGATTTCTGAAAGAAACTACAATATAATTGTCCCTCCTCAAACAGCATCAATTTTTCTGTTCAAGATATATTTATTGAAAATAAAACATGGGATAGAACAAGTAAATTATGGATCATTATTTATTCTTTCGTAGTACAGGAATGATATTCTGTAACTCTAAAAGACAACATACCTAAAAGAGATATCAGTAAATACATTTTGGGACAACACAACACTGCCACAACATCCTGGAAGTCAAGAGCATTTAAAATAGAGATTGAGCGCCCATAGACTTGAACAATTTCAAGGTGAAATACACATGTCAGAGCATTAGAGCATAAGCTTGTTGCTGTGCAGTTAGGAAGACCCGTTCCTGCAGGGAGTGCTCTGCCTCTGCGCGCTCCCCCAGCTCCAGGGCCTCTCCAAAGCACAACTGTGGTGAGTCCAGCACTCGCGAAGCCGCCTGCAGCTTCTGGGCTGTGCTGGGTGCCGGGATCCTCCTGGGTAAGAGCACAGTGTGGGCCAACCTGTGTGTGTTGGATCTTGACGTACCCATCTCCAAAACGGAATTGAAGGGAATGTCGGGTATAGGCTGGAGGTGCTATAATTTGCATGGAGTGATGTGCCACTAGAAGAGACGTTGAAGCTCAGCATTATAGCAAAAGGCATTATTTAAAGTCTGTAAAGTTATTTTTACATTAACTTCTCTCTCCTAATTGTAGAACTTCAGGAGAACAATGTTGGAATGCTTATAAAATTACTTACTGTCTATGGTTCCCTATAAAATTACCTGCAATGTAAATGCCAAATGTATACCTGATAACCTGCAATTAGTTATTATATGCTGACATTCAAAACCAAATTATCATGCATAAATATTAATTAAAATTTGTTTTAAGAATTATTGATAAGACTGCACTGTAAAGGCCTATTATTACTACTTGTCAAGTGTACAAAAATGTTTTTTTATCTCTTGTTCTGGGGCAGGTATTATCCTATCATGCAACATGTTCAAAGGCAGAAGTTGACAAATTTAAGGTAAGAATTTAACTTTTAGTTATTTCTGAAAATACAACCATAAATTAAAATGGATTTAGGTCATTTCAGAGAAAAGTTTACTTTTAAACTAAAAGCAGATGGTTTCAGTGGAAGGGGCAGCTACAGGAGACCTAGCAAAACTGCTACTGATGTTACCTGAGCTGAGACAGAGCAGCTATTGCTGGTTAGTTGATCAGTTGTGTAGTTGTGCCTTAGAACTCTTCTTGTGCCTGGAACTGCAGCAAGGGTGTGATGTTCTCCCCCTGTTGCAGTTACTGCTGCAGTCACCCACCCTCTTGTGAAATGATGATAACTGTATTATTGCTCAAAATAAACATACTTGAAGATCATTCCAACACTGCAGCCAACAGGAAATACTTCCACATGCTTAATAATTGTATTTTATGTCTGGCAAGCAGAACACTGAGGTCTGTTTGAGAGAGAGGAGAGAGAAAGAAGCAAGGAGCCATAAATATTGTATTATATTTTGTTGTATTTTAATATACATTGGAATAGGTACTGGTAGTATGACTTTGGTGACCATCAAGATTCAGGCAAGGCCGTGTTGGCTGTCTGGCCCTCTCAGCCATGGGAAGGCAGTTCCTGCTGCCCGGCCTGTGTCCCTGCGCCCAAGGCCCTCTCTGGCGCCTGGCGCTCGGCTACGGGCGCCTTGGGCATCTGCACTGCGTGTTTTCCCAGGGTCCTCATTAACGGATTTGCCAGTCTCCCAGGAAAGTTGTATCTTGTCATTATCCCTTTACATGGGAGGCATTTAGTTACACCTTTGGCTGTAAAACATTAGGAGCGTTTATTCATAACATCCATGGTATATATTTTTATAAAGGACACAGGCAAGGAAATGGGGAATATAACCAAACTATGCTTGAACTAGTAACACTTAGATTTTTTTTTTCTGAAAACTTTCCCTCTTTTTCTGTCCAATTATCTTACTTTCAATCACAAAGAAATGTCAGCCAGGTAATCTTTGTGCCAGCCTGTGCTATATGATGCTCATCATCTAGACTTGACTAGCTAAGAAACAATTCCTCCCTTTGTGGGTTGGATAAAACTGTCCCCCTCCCTTTGGGTGATTTATTGGCACATTTCAGCTGCAATGCCTGTTGCAGTTTGCTTTATATTCTGATTCAGTGTGAACATTAACAGACACACTTGATAGAAATAACTAAAGCAGATTAATGCAGGTTGTTCACTACAGGCTCTTGACCTACACTAGACTCAACAGTAACTAAAGCCTTTGGAATGACAGTGCATTTGATTTGTTTGCCCTGAACAATTTTCAACTTAGATTTTTTTTTAAATAGATTATAATGGCTGTCTAATAAAAAATTAAATCAGATGTCTTAGTTAATATAAAGCACATAATACTCCCTGCATGTGATAGGTATTACCTCATTGAGATAGGTAGGTTTTTGATGCCATTGGTCTAGATCTAGAGCAAAAATGTAAACCTATTTTTTTCATGGGCTTTTGTAAGTAAAACAAAAAGTCCACCTTGAGTGCAAACACATCTCGGACATCTGAGAGTGTTCGAAGCCTTGAGTCTGATTCATCACTGTTCTCCTGGCTTATGTCTGTGTAGCTCTACTAGATTCAAACTGCATTTTGGCAGCATAGGTTAAAATAGCACACCAGTGAATCATACCCGTATCCAGCCTTCCTAATTTTTAATGAGCAGGTAAAAATAAGTATGATTTTTAAATTCTGAGTTTCCACAAAGTTTTTAATTTCTCCATTGTATTTTTGAGTTGAAGTAAGGAAGAACTCTGTTATTTCCAATCATACAGCAGTACCAGGCTCCAGCTAAAAGCATTTCTAGTATTGAAATAGGCGAGATTAATGAAGTCCAATTAATCTAAGATTGATGCTGTTTTAAACAGTTGTCTTGTGTTGCCAAGTCTCTTTTCATTGAAATCCAGGCTCTCCAACCTATAAATAGTAATCTTGTAGACAAATATAGAAATCCAGGGTGCAGGAGTAAGGAATTCAGAACTGGATCCAGGACAGGATATTTATAGCAAGAGTTGCTGCCTTGTGAGACAGTAATGAACAAGTCCTGCGACTTGGCAAGCAGCTCCACAAAGACATATCACCTTTAAATTCAACTAATAGAGTTCCCAAAGAGAATATGTAAACATTGCCCTGTGCTGTGTAATATACAAGACGCTATTTTTAAAAAGCTAACCTAATTGTGCAGCTGTGAATGGTACAAACCAGATCAATATTTAATGACTGTGATGCATTATTTATAGCCTTATGAGAGAGTCTCGTCTTTTTAGGACAAACAGCACACAGGAGAGCCTCACAACAGGAAAGAATGGATTCAAAATGTAGTGCTAATAATAATTCCTGTATTTTTGACGTCCATAGACTGGTGTGTGGCTAGTTTAAGGCCTACCTACATAGAGGTTAGCTCTTTTCCCTCTTTCAAAATTACAGATATTTTAGCTAAATAAAGATGAACAGAGTTGAGTGAGAAAGGGAAACAGCTTTTAGGTCTGTGACAGTGTAAGCAGACAGATACATGACAGATGATTGTTTTAAGTGAAATTGATACTGGGAGTGCACTACCTTTATGGTATAAAATGAGTTGGGTATACATATTACAAGCTGTTAGGATTTTATACCTGCTCCTGAAGGATAAGAGTGGACTACAAAGAGAAAAATAGTTGTATTAATTTTTTCTCTAATCTCTATACAGATTGGGGAAACACTCCTATGCTACATTATCCTTTACTCCATCTTTCAGTTAAGAATTATTTTAGTTAGTTACTCTTTTATTCTGTTTTTAAGTCATCTACAGTGGTTTATAATGATGTCATGACAGTCTCACTCGGTAACTACGTTTCAGAAAGGCAAGCAGGCCTTTGTCTTTCAGACATGTGTGAAGAGTTACCAGCCTTTAACTATGTGTCTCTAGCAGATGAGGATTCACGTGTGGCTGCTGCTGCTGTTCCAATCCAGCTGGTAGGTTTGGCAAGGCTGAAGGCAGGTATCACACGTGAGGTCGGAGTTGCAAGGCAAGGTCCCTGTCATGCAAGCGGTTACATGCGTACAGCTTTAGAGGCTAAAGTTTGGTGTAAGTGCACAAAGTTACCTG